TAATGTAAAAAATAATATATTTTAACCATATCACAATGGAACAGAGTAATTCGGTTTTTGATTTTCACGTTGTAGCAGTTAATCTATTAAGATCATAAATTGTATACACATATTGATTAATTAAATGGTTACTACTACCATTTCAATGCATTCAAATTAACCTGTTGACAAGAAACCGACATGAAATATACCTAACGTTAATTACAAGTATCATTTTAATCAGTTGAGGATTTATAGTTGGCGCATAATAAATTCTTCATCTTCGATCTAACAGCAAGGCAGTATCAGACTTTGTTTCTGTTAAACAGTAATAAGTAATAGTAGTGTTAGCAGACTTGCCAATCAACGATACTTTGTTGTCTCTACAGATATGAAAAGAGAGCAATATAAATTTGAACAACAAAAATTCAACCAAGATGTTTTTTGTTGTGATTAGAAATTCAAGTTAAAATATGAAAAATCAATTGGAAGGTTATTTTTGTTAAAATCAGTTTAACTTAATTTTGTCGACATTTGAATTTAAGTCCATTTCCCAGAGCTCATTAGGCAAAGTAATAGCGTGTAGACTTTTTCTTGTGTCAGTGTTTTGGTTAGTTTGATGAATGACTATTTAAGAAAAAATAAGTGGTGTTTTTTTATGCATTCATAAAGAATCACAAGGAATTAGAAAATATCAGTATTTATTTGTTTAAGCAGTATCTAGGTAAGATGATGATAATTTTATGTTCAGTTTTTAAACAAAGTCTTCAAGAAAATTGAGAAAACGAGCGATTCAGTGCATTACTTGACTAAATTTCTTTTTTTAAATATAGTTTATTGATTTCTGCCTCAAGCTACGTTTGCGACAACATATCTATTGCCAAGCAACCGTAATTCAGGAAATTACGTCATTCTTGTAATGTATTACAGTGAAATAATAAAAGAGTACAATTAATGATTGTAATAATATTTGACTGAATTACTCAAGATAATTAACAGAGTTGGTTAGAGACTCTAAGTGGAATCCAGGACTCACGGTTCATCTTATTTAGGATTCGTCAACAGGATGAATGTGTATCTCAGAGCTGTTCATCAAGTGCAGGCTTATACAAAAACTGTTAAATTACTCATTGTGTATGAATACGGTCGATAAACTGATTTTTGCCCTGCAACTTCATGATTTTTGTGCTAACTGTTTAAAGCCGAGTACATTAACCGTCACATAAGTTCATCTTTGCACATATTAGTTGGACTTGTGGTTAGCCTGATATGAGCTTCAGATAATTTACAGCCAGTGAATATTAATTTTACTTACTTACTTACGCCTGTTACCCCCAATGGAGCAGAGGCCGCCCACCAGTCCTCTCCAACCAACTCTGTCCTAGACTTTTCTCTCCAGTTCTGTCCTATGTTTGTTCATTCCTCTCATATCTTTCTCTATTTCTCGGCGTAATGTGTTCCTTGGCCTTCCTCTTTTCCTTTTGCCTTGAGAGTTCCATGTGAGGGCTTGTCTAGTGACACAGTTAGGTGCTTTTCGTAGTGTGTGTCCTATCCACTTTAACTGCTTCTTCCTCATTTCCTCCTCCACTGGAATCTGGTTTGTTTTCTCCCACAGTACGTTGTTGCTGATGGTGTCTGGCCAACGAATCCGACAGCTACTTATAAACACTTGTATCTTCTGGATGTTGGCTTTCGTACTTCTCCAAGTTTCCGCTCCATACAGTAGAACTGTCTTGACATTTGTATTGAAAATTCTGATTTCGGTTTTGGTTGAAAGTTGTTTGGAGTTCCAGATATTTTTCAACTGTAGAAATGCAGCCCTCGTTTCGCCAATCCGCGGCCTCACATCTGCATCTGATCCACCTTTCTCGTCGATGATGCTGCCCAGATATGTAAAGGTGTTAATGTCATCCAAGGCATCTCCATCAAGATTGATTTGGTTGGTACATGTTGTGTTGCATCGGAGAATTTTGCTTTTTCCTTTATGTATGTTGAGACCTACTGCTGCAGAGGCTGCTGCTACACTGGTCGTCTTCTCTTGCATTTGTTGTTGCGTGTGAGATAGAAGAGCCAGGTCATCTGCAAAGTTCAGATCGTCCAGCTACATCCTAGCTGCCCATTGGATACCGTGTTGACGTTTTCATAATCCAGTCGATGACCAGGAGAAAGAGAAAGGGTGAGAGTAAACAACCTTGCCTCACACCGGTCTTCACCTCAAAAGAGTCTGTCAGCTGACCTCCGTGCACGATTTTGCAGTTGAATCCATCATAAGAATTCCGTATGATGTTGACCATTTTCTCAGGCACGCCGTAGTGTCGAAGAAGCCTCCACAGTGTTTTCCTATCCACGCTATCGAATGCTTTCTCGTAGTCGATGAAGTTGATGTAGAGTGGTGAGTTCCATTCAATTGATTGTTCCACAATGATCCGTAATGTAGCAATTTGGTCGGTACACGATCGATCCTTACGAAATCCGGCCTGTTGATCTCGAAGTTGGACGTCTACGAAGTCCTTCATTCTGTCTAACAATACCCTGTTGAAGACTTTGCCTGGTATTGAAAGAATAGCGATGCCTGTGTAGTTCTCACACTTGTTGAGATCGCCTTTCTTTGGTATTTTGATCAGGTATCCTTCTTTCCAATAGTGAATATTATGGACAAGAATTTTTCAAGACGTAAAATTTTATATTACAAAGAATACTATTGCAGGTTTAAAGTATGGAAGTATTGAAAATGTGAAAATACAATATATAACGTTTGTACTTATTAATGATGATTAGCAGTTTAAAGTATCTTCAAATATCTAAATGTATGCAATAAACATCGAAAAAACTTGTAGTTAAAGAATCAAGAAAATGGTATGATCTTCAATATTTTATTTCACTGAGTTATCTGATATCTGTTCAAGAAATACTGAGGTAAAATAATTGATATTGTACTAATGATATAATTCCGATCGTAGTTTTCGATAACAACCGCGGATATTCGCAAAGATTAAAATTTAGATGAAAGGGAATATGACAGTTATTGTTTAAAGTTTACGAAGCAATTTTAAATTCATTTATAACTCTGTGATCAAACACTAACAGGGCAATCAAGAAAGATTTTAGAAAGTTTACTCAGCTTGCTGCTGTAGACTGAATAGACGCTCAACATAAAATGAGATTTAAAAAATTAATTTGGTGTGTTTGATATTTGACAATGCAAATCGTCATTTTGCTTTGTTTACGACAAATGAAGAAAATCAGTTGATATTATACTTGTTTGCATAATAGTCATATCAAAAAAACACTGAGGAATACAAGTTTCAAGGCCTCAAACTATGTCATCATTTGTTGTCAAATAATACATTTCCTTGAATGACTGAAATCGAAATTTTGTTTTCGTACAGTGGATTTTGTCAGGTTCTTAAAGAAACAAGTAGTTTTATATGTATATGCCCCAATAAATATGAATGCAGTAATAAAAACTTTTGTTAAATTTCTGATCTGTCGAAATTATTATTTACATTAAGGAGTGTCAAATATATGTATCAAGTATAAATTTAAGCTGATTAAGAAAAAGGGAGAGGCATACAGAGTAACAAGGACTTAAACAATTAAATTTTAGGTCAGTTTATAGATGATTATACATTAATGTAGGATGTGATTCGTTGAGTGATATTGGTGAAAAATGTGCACGATTCTTTCGTCAAGAAACTTTCAAAATGTGTTTATATCTTTTGACTTGTCTACCTGCTCAATACACAAACAATTTTTAAGCCACTTGAAAAATTTCAAACTCATTTTTTGTAGTTTATTCGTTTTCAAATTTATGGTCTATATTAATGTTTGTGTATGAGGTAGTCAGAGTTACAGAAATAAACAGTATATGTTCAACAATAAGAATTGTACTGAATGAAAATTTGATAAATTCTTCCTGTTTTTATAAATGTAATAAATGTTTTAAACTATCTACGTTTACATCACTCGAATTAGGCCACACTGACAATATTGTAGACTACTTGAATGTAACTTATATTTTGATTAGTTCTCACGGACACAAACATCCCCCATGTTCCCTTCTCGTATTTCTCTTCACCTTTGTTTCTCTACTCCTTTCACTTCTTATCAGTTGTTACTATTTTGCTTCTCAATAAGTGATAATCTAAATATTGCTGTTTATTTCCATCGATTTATTCTGACATGATTAATATTCGAAGAAAAATTTGGAAACAATTTACTCTAATTACTAGTCTCATCATGTTGATAAATTTTAAACAAAATCACTTTAATGTTTTGATTAAATGTACATATGTATTTAATAGTGCTTTTTGATCTGACATCACTAAAATATTATTTTAAAATTTAGTTATATTATACAATGAAGAAAATAATTCATTTTTTATTTACACATTTATTATTAACCGTGAGCGATTTTCTCGCTTCCTGAAATGAATAAGAAGTCTATTATATTTATGAAACTAACATTAAAATAAAATCGCAGATGCAACGAAAATTTAAACCAATCTTCAATAGTGTTTTCATCTAACCTCATTCATATTGCTCACATAATTTGTGAATGCTTCAATTAGCCATATAAGTTAGTTTTGAAATAGTTTTCTGTTTAGCGTTTTTTAGTGAGTCAGAATTTTTTGGGATGGGGTCGCCAACCCCACGATCAACCCTCCTCCTTTATCCGGGCTTGCCATCAGTAGTAGCTCCAGAGGGGCTCCAGGCGGAGTTTATTTTTTTTTATTGATTATTTTTAAATATATAAGTGAGACAGTCAATGTCTTATATGGTTACATGCGTTGGATAACCGTAATTTTGGCTGTAAATATTGCTTATCTTTTAACTTCACAATTTTGCATTTTTGTTTCCATCGTTTCAAATTACGTTTCATGAGTGTTCATTTTTTTCTAACGTTTACACCGTTAATGTAATCGTATATTTAAAGATCTGTTTTATTCATGTTTTTATCGGTACTAATTAACTTTCAAGCTATTCCTGCTTCATTTATGTTCTTTTTCCATGTTTTTCAGGGCAACTGGAGCTACCTTAGGTGTATTGGCTATATTACTTATTTTATTCTTAATAATTTTGTGTCTTCCATGGAATAAATGTAGTCAATACTGTTCTTGCTGTCGTTGTTGGATCTTTAATTCAAATGAGCATATACGTAGACAATCAGAAGATGCATTTCGTGCAACCAGAATGCCTGGAGAGTTTCGTGAGTATTTTGTTCTTTCAACATATATTGCAGTGCCTTCGACACACTTTTTTAAAAGAATACCTACAATCTTTTGGCTAAAATACAGATAATATTTATAGAATAAGTGGGACAACTATTCATTTCTTGGAAAAGCAAAATTGAATTAACTAAATTGAGTGAATGACTCAAGTTTTGAAATTATCTACCAAGAGTTAATTATCTGCATTTTATTCATCTCAGTTCTCACTTAATTAATTGCTAAATATACCTAAGATAAATATGATCTGTTTAATTGTTTACAAGATATCATTTGAAAAATGAACTATCTTTTTTACTGAAAACTACACATCAAATCTCCGAAACTAAATAAATCGAAATGCTCATAAATCAAACCATTCCAGTATTTTATAAGTATATTTCTCTCATTAGAGCGAATTTGCTACAGCTAATCATACATTATTGGCATGGAGAGAATTTTTGTAAGTAGGTCTTGCAGTTCAATGTCAACAAAACTAAAATTAAGTATTTCATCACGTACATTCATTCATAAAACGTCAAGCATGGAAATATATACAAACATCATTTATCCAGTTTGTGATGATCGTTTCAACATTGTTTACATGGCTCTAATTTGATACATTTCCGTATGTTAAACATTTGAAGTTATTATTAAAAATCACATTATCAAATACATTTCATGGGTCGTTCTCATCTGTTTACCTCTCGATTACTTATTTTATTTGGTCTATCCAGGTCTTTCATCACCTTTAAATAAATAAGCATGCTGTAATGCTGAATACGTTTACTACATGATAACAAATTGATAATTACATCATTTAAAATTTTCTGTTATTCATTTAAAACCGTAAATTCTCACTAATATGACAAGGTTCTGACTTGGGTTACATAAAGCTATACCACGTTCAAGAAAGCTGATAAGATTTTCTGTAACTGTCGATGATGTAATCTTAAGCAGATGAAATATACAAAAAGTAAAGCATTCACTCAAGTAAATCTATCCACCATGTTTCAAATGATATAAAATAAGTATCCTTCATTTTATTGTATTGCATATTGATGAAATAATAGTCCTCTTTATTAAAATGAACGTTTGCTTTCTATATTTATTAGTAATTGAATCGATTTTTCAGTTGAATTCGGGTCATCCAACTGTAATAAATTGTTATCAATTCGATTTTCAATTATGCTGATAAAAAAACGTGTCTACTTATGAGTAGTCAACGAAGTCAACTATAAAGGATTATATTTTAGCTTATAGTTTGTAAGTTCTGGCTTATTATAGATTCGCCTCTAGCTTGTAGATATCTTATGTTCTGGCGGAGTGTGAAGAGTAGCATATGTGAGAAAATCTGGAAGAGAAACATCGGAAGATATATGATGTGCTAATTAATAAACAAGTATAACGCAGTTAAACTGAGTAATGAAAACAGTTGACAACAGTTATCATTAACACAGGGATAAGATTAAAATAATCTAATAACTGAAACCGGAAGTTAATAGCATAAGTCTTCAAATACGTCGAGAATTAAATGAAGGCAATTCATGTTCATCTTAATGAGTGAATACTAGTAAAAAAATTGAAATGTAGTTCAGTAGTGATAGCGGCTGAATCACCCTTTTAACTTGTAGCACGATGTTGTAAAAGAGATCATTGTCTTTCGTATAAAGGGTTTCGTACTATATTGTTATGAATGTTAAACAGAACAACGCATATAAGCGGACAATATTGTTTTCGATTAGATCGTCATCAGGCTTTACACTAATATACATGATTATTTATGTGAAAGTGTTAAACCAATCAAGGCAATTTGAGTCAATAACCACAATGAAATGAAATAGTTTACGTCACTACATATGTGTAGTGATAGTAAGAAGACAGGTGTACTGACAGTAGTAAGAAAAATAAAATACGATAACAAAAGATTTATCAATAGTAGGTCAAACGTGGGTAAATAGACTTAAAATAATCATTACAAAACATTAAAACCATTACGTAATAAGAAGTGTGTACATAATTAGATAGTGAAGAATATAAACGGGAAGAGGCAGAAAATTACAAACAAATACAGGATGTGAAAATAATGCTAGTAATAACAAGATAAAATTTAAAAATTAAAATTTTTTTCTAAACGTTGATAAAGTCATATCCGACCGCGGAAGATATAGGAGTGTCACGAATTTCTTCTGAACACAAATTGTGGTTGAATGCTAAATAAATATAGTATGTATGAGGTTGAATTTCCTGGTCATAAAACTACTTACTTGGTTGTCTAGTAAAGGTCTTTCAGTATGATTATGTGTATGTTACCTAGATTTATAACTTTGTCTACTTCTTTAAAAAAAACTGTCTGTTAACAGTAATTCTACAGAATAAGATATTCCAGTCGTAAAGTTAGATGCTAAGGTGTTTTTTATGTGTCACATGAAAGGTATGCTTGGATTCTGTCTCTCTTTTTCATCATTTATTACACAATCCCATCTATGTCAAATTAAATCCAATCTTTCTTTACTTTCTGTTCTATCTTTATAGCTATGCCAATGTTTGACTTCATACCACCATATGCTTTACCTAAATTACCAAACTACGAAGAATGCGTAAATACTGGACCACCAGCAAATGATGAAGCCCCACCACCGCCAACTCCACTTTCTTTTCATTCTACTAATTCAAACAATCAGCCGGCTTTACGTCTAACTCTCCACGGTCAACCCGAAAATTTAGCCAATACTAGCGATTCTCAATCACTTCCTCTATCTACTCCTCCACCGTCTTATTCATCAACCTATTTGAACAGGCCATCAGTAACAGGCCAAACAGGTGAAGATTCAACTAGATTAGCTGATATCGCATCTAATACATCTTCAAGGCAGTTGTCAGCAAACCGTTAGAAAAAAATTATCGATCGACTATTTCTCACTAACTACAGTTTTATACACTCATAATGATGCATTAATCATTTCTTCCTGTTGTACGTTGTATCATCCTTTCAGTTTTTGGCGTTTTGGCATTCTTTTATTTTCATTTTCAGTATGGAGATAGAAAAATGTTTAAATAATCATTGAACAATTACCGAAAGTTTCACAACACACATAATATTACTATTTTGATGAGTAGTTTTCAATCTTAGTGATAAAATAATGAGGTCAGATTTTTTCTATATATTTTTTTACCACACTTCCACTTTGTTTCTCTTTTGAAATATTTTAAATATCAAGGATTTTCTAATGATGAATAAAACAAGCTCACCAACTTTAACATTTTCTCAAGATTTTCAACACTCAAAGTCTAGCTGGAGATGCTATCAGAACGATAGTAGACTAATTTTGATTATGGGTTTCGATTTTTCAGTTGATCATCTTCAAGGTGCTTGTTATTATATTACTCGCTTTTTTGTACGTTAGTGAGCTCATTGTAATAGCTAGTGTTGCAGTATGTTTGTCATATCCTCGCGATTCGAAAACTGAACGATTGACGTGACCTTATTTCACATAAGTTACTTTTTTCTGCGAATGAGTAACTTAATAAAGTCACTTTGTTAATTCTGTGTAGGTGAAAACGTTCTTTTATATTTTCCAGAATATTTTACCACAACTCACTCTGTATATGAAAAAGACTTAGTTTTAGAAATGGAAAAAATATTTTACAAAATTTTGACTCTTTTGTTTGATGTCGACTAATGAAGCAACAAAACTAAGTGAATCACATGGTAGATATTTTTATAAATTGAGATTATTCCCTAAAACGCATTTTAAAATTCTTGGAAATACTCTAAGATTTAGTCAGTTTATTTATAACTCATGAATTTGACGTAATGTAACTCAAACACCTGCATTTTATAGATGTTGTCTACTGTATGAGATAATTGGTTGACTCTGGAAAGCATCACCTTATTTTCTTTTGATATAATTTAGAGTAGTATGACAGTACAAATAAGTAAAATAAAATATAAGAATAGCTGAAAGAAGTAAAACTGCTGAAAATTCATTATAGATGCGAGCTTTTGATTTGACTTCAATTGTTTTCAATTATCTCTCAAAGCTGCTCAATATAAAACTTTACTAGATAGCGTCAGATCAAAAGTCAAATACAAAATTTATCAAAACTGTCGATACAAAAAACCTGGGAAATTAGAAGAAAAGAGGTCAAGCTAAAACAACAGGTGACTGTTTAAAACAACTAGGAAGTGCGTACAGTTTCCTTGAACATACCTAATGAACACAATGTACATTATTCGCTCATTTCTTGATAATTTCACCTATACATTCAGTAAGGTTAACGATAAAACAGATAATTTAGGTATCGTATTAGTACATGTGGACAAGTTTCATGAATATCCTGGTTTCATGTATATCAGACATTTTCTAATTGAAACATAGATCTGGAATCGAAGTAAAATTGATGTTTACATCGGCACTAAGATTGACATCAGTTCACGAAAAGACTTAGTTGAGTACAAACTCCACCTCTTACATTGTGACCATGTAACATTTACATGTGATGTCACAACCAGACTATCCTTTTTGAGGTACTTGACGTAAATTTCTATTTTCTTTATTCTTAATAACCAAATTTTAATAGGATTCGTGACTATCACAGTTTGTATTAGGCCAACAATACTGTACTTTAAAAAGATATCAATCTTGATAATGCATTCTACACGCAATTTATGCTTCTAATTATTTAGTGTACCATAAATCTTTAATCGAAACCATTTCTAAATCACGTCTGTTTTAATAATGTATGGCAATTTCTCTTTTTCTATCTTCTCAATTAACCTTTTTAGAGAGGCGCCTATTGTGTTTTCATTTTTTCAGAATTTATTTATATACATGAATTATAATCAGTGTGATCTATAGTATTCGTGAATACAAACAGAATACACATGGATAAGTTACTTGAAAGTTGAACAGTATTTTATCGATTTACCAAATCGATAACCAAATGTCAATCAGCTATGAATTTCGATCTTTCCAATTCGATCAATAATGTACGAGAATATATTACAGAGTAACAAAAACAAATTAAGCTTAGTTCTGTTTTAGTAAGAATTTGTTGATTCAAAAATTTGAAAGTTTGTTTCATTTCGATATGTCGGAATATTTTACCAAAAGAAATGTTTATTTTATTGATTTCAGTGAATTTCTAAAATTTTTTCTCTTCAGGGAACTAAATATTCAACAAGTAGATTACTGAAATAATAGTGTTTTAATTACATTGAATGACATCATAGAGACCATTTTACTTCTTAAAGAGAACTTAGGTAATGAAATATTAAAAAATATGCGTTATGTTTGATGATTAACATTGAAACTGTTAAAATTTACAGTGCGTGAAAACGCATAGCAGAGTTTGTTTTGTTTTTGAAAAATTTGGCAAGTAATTCAACTCGTAAAAACTAACATATCAAAAAAGTTGCTACTCGAAAGACAGATTTTACTGAAAACTCAGCTTTTCGATCAATTTTTCGGATTATTTTTTTTAGAAATCAGCTAATAGCTGACAAATAATGTATAATATGTTAACAGGTTGTCTACAATGTCACTCTGCTTAAGTACTATTAATAAATAAAGTCTCGAGGTAAGCCAAGAACTATTTCGATAAACTTTTAATCCTATTAACAGGAATCACTAATCTTATATTATAGAGTGAACTATCGATTATATATAAATTAAATCTTTCTAAAATGATATAAGATTGTATTTAAGATTTTGAACAGTATATAATACACGGCTATCGATGCTGGACACAAAAAAATAGTGGTGACATTGGCAGACTGCTTGAAATTGTGAGTTTTCAAGTTTCTCAAAGATTTCAATCACTTACTCGGTTTGTACCCGTTATAACCGAGTAATTATGTTCACCACGTATATCATAGAGTCGGTCGCTTACACAAAAATCTTACAGTTTATCACTGTTGAAAATACTATCAAAAGGATACCGTTTGGCGACAAAGCTAAAAAGAATATAGGTTCATCAGGTGTCAATTCCAGAAGGGACTTTAACTGCAGGTATCTCTTAATAAAAGTGAATTATCTACAATCTCTTTGATGGTTAAATATCTTCCTTACTTGTGTTACAACATTATATCACGATTTATAGTCTTAAAAGTTTTAGTGATGTAAGTCAGTGTAGAAATTATGCAGCGATGTTTGTTAACATGACTTGCTGTTAATCTCATAATTTGCTCTTCAGTTTTTTCAAACAACTGTTTTGTCTGTCTAGTTTTAAAACTCCATTGAAAGCATTTAAATATATACCGTTAACTAAATGCTTTCAACATTTTTACTCACCTACTTACGTACTTTTTATTACTTACGACTGTTACCCTTAATCAAGCATAGGCCACCGACCAGTATTCTCCAACCTACTCTGTCATAGGCCTGTTTTTCAGGTCTATCCAACTTTTGTTCATTCCTCTCATGTCTATCGCCATTTCTCGACGTATCGCCTTCCTTGGCCTTCCTCTTTTCCTCTGACCTCAAGGGTTCTAGGTGAGGGTTTGTCTTGTGACACGATGAGGAAATTGTTAACCATTAATTATGTACTGAATATCTGAATAGAGAAGCTGAAAATATCTAGGTGTTTACTTTGTAATGTAACCATCTAGTTCCAGTAATATTTCAACTGATGTACCAATTTTGAAATGTAAACCTTAATCAGTGCACAGTTGTCAAACTTGAAAAATAGGTTATCCTTACATTTGTATGCTGTTTTATAAAAAATACTGAAGAATTCACCATTGTCCCGTTCATTTTTATTGATACATATAGAGTCGATTTGGTTATGAGTAGTGCAATCCTGCGAAATCCATGTATCTTTGAATATGCATTTGTGTGAGAATACTGTACCACCTACGACTAGTTTATTGAAGGTAAATAGGTTTGCAAATCTCTCACCGTTTTCGTTTCTTTCTCCTATTCCATGTCGTTTCATGATGTCTTCATATCCGGTGTTGTCCATGCCAACCTTGGCATCTAGGTCTCCCTTCAGAATGGTCAATTCCTGTGATGAACATCTCACGACTATTGACTGCAGCCTCTCGTAGAATCGATCTTTAATGTATTCATTGTAGTCGTTGGCAGGTGCAGAGAATTCGATGACTTTCATTGTAATGCTCTCTTTCCTTTTTTTGAAGGATGCTTTGACGATCCTGGGTCCATGAGATTCCCATCCTATTAGTGCCTTTTGTGCATGTTTGGACAGTATCAGTGCAACTCCTTGTGTATGTGAAGCATTTTCCTCTTCATGACCAGAGTATAACAGCAGTTCCCCTGAAGCTAGTCTCAGTTGTCCTTTCTGTGTCCAGTTAGTTTCACTGATTCCAAGCACCTCGAGGTTGTATCTTCTTATTTCTGCAGCAACTTGAAATAGTCTTCCAGTCTCCCATAATGTTCGAACGTTCCATGTTGTGAGAAGGAGCATCGGCCTCGTGACTTCCGAAGGAACTGGGTTTTCATCATGTGGCGTCGTAACTCTTCTGAATGAAAACCTTTCAACTCCCAGGGTAGAGCTGAAATGGTTGGAGTTGATTTTTATGGTTAGCGTTTCTTAGCGAGTTAGTTTTTATATGGGATCGCCGACCCTAAACCCAACCCTACTCTTTTATCTGGTTTCGGGACCAGTAGTAGTCCCAAAGGGGCTCCAGGCAGAGTCGTCTCCGACATTTGGTGAGTTCTAGTCTTATTTTATCTGGATCATCCTTTTTTGATGGCCAGTTCATAATATTTACTGCTATCGTCCAAGCCAATTCACCCATTCATATTAATTACTATTTATGCGATTTTATCATCCATGCATTTTGCAGTAACCAAAGACTTCGCTATTTTACCACTTACGTTAACCCCCCTCCATACC